GAGGCAAAGGAGTCCTCTGTTCCTCCATTAGCATCACGCAACGTCCTGGTATGCCCAGGGCCATCCTGGCTTTAGCACCAAAAATCCCATGTCCCACTACTACTCATCTCACTCCCTGGACTAACTGCATACATGCCAGACGGGATGGGGGCCCTGCCAGGTCCTCTTCTGTGGCTGTGTCCCCAGGCCTCAGCTGTAGGAGTGCTGGCTGCTACTGACTCCCCTTTTCTGGAGAGGTGCCCTCAGCTGACGGGACCCAACTTGCGCCAGAGATGCCCTCTCAGTGGCTGGTCCACAGTCAATGAGTTGATCGAGGCAAGGGGGCCTATCTGTGGTGCAGGTCCTGCTCTGGTAGCTTCCATGGATCAGGCCTAGGTTAGACTCTGCTGAAGACTCTGTCCTTGCTCAGGTCCCTCTCCTTCTCTCTCCTGTTTCCCTCCCTCTCCTGTAAGTTTCTCTTGAGAGTGGTCCCTGGATACACCTTATGCACCCAAATCCTTGTCTCAGGCTCTGCTTCTAAGGAACCCAACCTAAGGCCATGTCGATGTACCCGTTGTCATGGAGAAGTGTCCTTCCCTCCCGGCTTTTCACCTGAGTCTGCAGATGCAGGCCTTTAGGAGCACCTGGCTTGGAGAGGGGGCTACCGGGAGCAGTGTGCCCCGTATCAACCTCACAGCTGGGCAACTCTGGACAATTGACACACATGCTCGGTGCCTAATTTTCTTACCCTGTAAGATGGGAGTAATAATAGTACCTCCTCCAAGAGGTTGTTGGATTGAGTGAGTTCATGTATGCAATGAAAAGCACCCGCTTTAGTAATTGCTCAATAAATGTTAGCTATCATTATAATAGGAATTAAACGATAAATCTTATTTGCAATCTCGTTCTTGCTCATCAAGCCCCTGCCAGCCTCCTTTCAGTGCCTAGACCAGCACTTCTCAATCCTGACATCATGGACATTTTGGGCTAGATAATTGTTCTTGGGGCCTGGGGTGTCCTGTGCATTGCAGGGTGTTCATTAGCATCCCCGGCCTCCATCCACAGATGCCAGCAGCACCCTCCATCCTCAGGTTTGGTAACTAAAAATGTCCCTAGACATTGCCAAACTTTCCCTGTGGGACAAAATCACCACCAGCTGAGAAACACAGGCCTGGAACACGTTGCGATCTTCTTTCCCCATGACTCTGCATATGTCTTTCTTTCTGCCTGGCATAGGGTTCCTCCTGCTCTTCCCTCAGCTGGCTCCTTCTCATCCATCCTTGTCTGCCTAAATGTCTCTTCCTCCAGGAAGCCTTCTCTGACCACCTCATCTTCCTGTCTGCACTCGTGGCAGGTTTCTTCCATGGCTTTTATCACCATGTGGCATCGGTCCATTTATTTGTCTGTTGAATTCTGTTTGTCCCTCCCGCTAGAGGGGGTGGGCAATCCTCTGGAGCAGAATCCGCATCCAACTCGATTGCTGATCTGTCCCTGCAGCCAGGCACAGGGTGGGCACAGAGCAGACCCTCGCTCAGCGAGTGTGCTGGATGAACGAACAGCTGGCTTGTCCAGGGCACAGGTTGCCCGCAGCCACGGGGAAGCTTACCTTCTGGACGGTGAAGGTGCGTATGACGTACTCCGCCAGGGGCTCTGTCTCAATCAGGCTGACTTTAATGTCCCCGTAGACCTCCGTGTCATCCGGCCAGTATCGCACACACTTCACCTGTGAGGAAGGGCAGAGACAAGGATGGACGAGGGCGTGGCCGAGCGTGAGCAGCCGCCTCGTCCGGCCTTCCTGGTCCGATAAACCCGAGGGCGATTTGGGTGGAATTTCGGTCCAAGGGATTGTCAGCTGGCCGGGGACTGGCAAACTGCACAGGGCCACGCCCGCTCCCAAAGGCCCTGGGGCCGTTAGGAATAATGGTAGTACCTTCTTTGGCAGAGCTCCTTAAAATCTCCAAGTCCATTATCGTACTAGGTGAGCGAAGTGATCAAGGTGAGATAGGCAGCTGGTATTACCCCATTTACAGATGGAAACAGAGCTCAAGTTTGGAGGTCAGACAGCTGGTCCCAGGTCACGGGGCCAGTTTTCTACCTCTGGCTGAGCCCTTTTTCTGCTAGATCAGGTGGGGCAGCGGGGCGGCGTCAGTGGAGCAGAGATGAGCATAAAAGTGGGAAGCAGTGAGGGGGTGGAAGCAGAGGGGTGGGGAGAGGGCCATTACTATTCAGAGGTGGTGACTGGGGGCTGGAAGGAGAAAGGCTCTCGGTTGGGAGAAGGATGCGAGGAGCGGGACTAAAAGGGAAGAGTCCACACAACGGCTCTCTGCCCGGGCGGTGGGTGCAGATGCCGGTGACAAGCCAGTCCCACATTGGACTCTAGGTCACACTCCGCGGGACGAGAAAGAGATCATTGTTTTCCCCTAAAAAGAACAAAAGCATTACCATTCCGGGGGACGCCGCGCGGCCTAGAGTGGCATTTCCCACAGTGTGTTCCGCTGGGTGCTAATAGGTGTTAGGTAAAAAAAAAAAAAACAAGAAACAAAAAAAACAAACAAACAAAAAAAGGTTTTGTGGTCAAATGAGTTTGGGAAATGCTGGATTAAACAAAGTTAAACAGGCCGCTCTGCTACAAGACTCCTCAGCTCGTTGAACGTGCTAACGCTAATGTGTTTTCGACTCTCCGAGAAGGGCAAACAATACACAGCATTTCCCAAACGTATTTAACCATGGAACCCTCTTCTCACTAGGCATCCTGCAGACTAGCATCCCATGGAACCCACTTAGGGAAACGCTGGTATAGCGCAACAGGCTTGGCAGGCAAACGGATGCATTGCTTGGTTCTAACGCTTAGCAGCTGTGAAGCTTCCAAAAAGTGCTGAAATCTCTCTGAGGCTCAACTTCCTATTAATACAGATAGCTAAAGCTTACTGACAGCTTATAGTGTCTCAAACTGCTTGCTAAGTGTTCTTACCTGTATTATTTTAATCGCTTATCACTACAACCTCTACAGATATGATTATCACCCCGTTTTACGGATGAGGAATCAGAAGCATTGAGAGACTAAGAAAATTGTCCAAAGTCACGAAGGGATGGAGCCAGGATGCAAAGCCAGGCCACCTGAGTAATTACCAGAAACACTGCCTCGTGCAGTTGTTGGAATCAAAATGAAGTAATGCACAGGGAGAGTCAGGCATGGTGTTTGGCTCCTAGCAGGAGTTCTGTCAAGAGACTGCTCCCCTGTTTCCTCCCCAAATCCAAATTAGATTCACGAACTGTCCATCGAGGGAATCTGTCTCCAAGATGAGATATGTTATAGAATGGGCTGGAATTTGCCTCTGAATTCTTAAATCCTAGCCTGGCCTTTTTGTCCACAGTAGCTGCTCCCTGGGCCTGGGTCCTTGGGGAGCAGTTGTGAGTGGAGGGGCCACGACACTAGCATGAGAGTTAAGAGTCAGAGATCGTGGCCGGGCTCTGGCTGGAGGACTAAGGGGTAGATGCTCCAGCCCCTCGGGGCCTGTTTCCTCATCTGTAAAGCCGGGGAAGGGATGAGGTGAGAGTGAGCTCAAGGATAAAGTCTCTCTCGGCCCTAGAACCCTATGAGGCCACGAGATGTCCACAGCCCTTTCCTGGATTATGATGACAGCCCAGATTCTCTCTTTCCCATGATCTTGGAGGCCAGGACTCTTTATTTTAATGGGTTATCTAGTTCTTTGCCAAAACAAAAACTTACCTGCCCACTCTTCGGTTAGTTCCTACGGTAAGTAGAGAAGCCCTCTTCCTTCTAGTGTTGTGCACCCTGCCTTTCAACCCAGCAAGCCCACCCACCCACATGCCACAGTTTAGGAAGTGAGCAAAAGCAAGCTGGGCATAGCAGTCCCATTTCCAAGCCCTAGGAGTAGCTAAGGACGACGTAGGAGAGAGTTGAGATAGAGCAGAGCAGGAGACCAAGGCCTGAACCCTGAGGAATATCAAGGTTTAGAGGTAAGGGAGCAAAGGGTCGGATGCTCTGAGGGGCTGAGTTCGATGAGAAGAAAGAAGTGGCAGTTGGATTCGTCAACATGAAGGATGCTGGTGATACTGACCGTCTCACTATGGGTGGGATGGAGAGGGGAGAAGAGAACTGGAGTGGAGAAACAGAGCCTGTGTGTGAGTCTTTAGAGTCTGGCAGAAAAGTGGGGAGAAGAGAATCCTTTTCATTTGCCTGTTTTGTATTTTCAGGGGGAAGGCACTCAGGATGTTCCGTAGGTTCAGGGGAATAATCTAGCAATGAGAAAAAGAGTTACTCTTCGAGTGAGAGGGGAAATGAGAAAATTCTTGCATAGAATCTGTGATACAAGGCACTGGGATTGCCCTTGAAAGGGCAAGAGTCACTTCTTCCATAGAAACAGCAGATAGTCTACCATTTGGGTCAACAAAAACGGCCATGTTTTATGGTTCACCCTGATAACAGAGGGGAAAAATGAGAAGATGGCTGTAGATGCAAGTAGGATTGTGGCTTTGTGGTGTGAAGATGAGCGTTCACGTCCGATGGCTTTCATTTCCCCAAAGGGTATGAGATGACATCATCAACGGAGCGAGGGTGGAGAAAGTGATGACGCGGAGGGAAAGGCTATATTCCCCGAATGGGAAGCAGGGGTGAGGATTTCTCCCACGCAGGTCGTTGTGAGGGTGAAGTGTTGAGTGGGGGCACATGCCATAAGGCACAGAACAGAGAGATGCTCGGGAGGGCAGGGCCAGCAACCTCTGTCCAGGTAACTGCGGGAGGGGCTTACCCTGCCCACTTCCACGAGGTTCGTGACCATGACGATGCTGGCCGAGTTCTCCTGCCAGATCATTCTCCAAAAGTCCTTGACGGTCTCCTGCATCGGACCTGCCGACAGAGAAGGTGACAGGGTCAAAGACCACAAGTGCACGGAGGCAGCCAAGAGGCCGTCCCTCCTGATTGGTCGGTCCGGGCTCCGCACAGGTGAGCGAGAGCGAGGCCGGATGATTCTCGCCGGGACACCCGAGTCACTGAGACCAGGGCCAGAGTATGGAAAAGCAAAGCGGCATTCCAAACTAGCATGGTCTACAGCATCCATGGAAATGTCCACAGCCTTTCCTCTTCCCTCCGCTGTCCTCCTACTCAGAGGCTGTCCCCCAGCCCCACTTGCCCCCCATCCATCACCTTATCGGGACTGTATTATGGATTAATAAAATAGCTTAAGGGAGTTTTCATAAAAATTGGGCTCCAGAACTTCAGTGAGAGACAGGGAGGAAATTGGGATTGCAGGGGGCGGAGAGGAGGACAGAGAGCTGCCAGGAGCCGGATGCTCACAGTGCAAACAGTAGAGGCCTGATTTTGAGCTTGACAAACACAAGGAGCATTCCTCTGGAGCCCAAACAGGAGGGAGGGAAAAGAAATGACAAGGAAAGGGAGATAGGATCTGAGAGTCCAAAGCAATTTCCTTGGAAATTTCTTTCAATTCCCTGGGCCTTCATTGCTTTTACAATTACAAAAGTAATACATGTATTTGATATAAAAATCTGAATAGCATTTTTCTGTATATGTATATATATATATGTATTTATACATATACATTTTCTGTAATAAGTAATTATATGCATTTTTATATGCATCATTATATGCATTTTTGCATGCTCTTAAAAATTCTTACCAAGCATGGTACGTGTTCACTGCATAATTTTCTATAATATAGAAGTATCACACTTTATTTAAGCAATCTACCAACTGTTGGGCACTTAAGATTTTTCACTTTTTTCCTATTAGAAATAACACTGGGACGAGTATCTTTGTATATGTCACTGTCCACATATATAATTATCCACAGGATTTCCTCCCCAGAGGGTTTGGGAGGTAGGATCATTTTTGAGCCTCTGATAATGTACTGCCAAGTTGTTCTCCAGAATGGCTGAGTACCTCTCTCTTCTAGGCACACATTCATCAAGGAGATAAGGCACCATCAGCTCTAGTTTCGGATGGTGGATCCCGAGGGTATGTGCCTGAGGCTGAGGCTTTGGGTCTGCCCTGCCTGTGCCATTTCCTAGCGACACCTCCTTCATCTCTCACTCATATCCCTCCCCCCTAGAGCTGAATTCATCACCTCTTTCCTTCCCAAACAAATGGACGCTCCCAAGGACCTATGTTTGTGTGACTTTTTTGCTGGCAGAAGCCCATTCCTCTCTTCCAGTGAAGGGTGAGGACCCCTTCGAGGAAAAGGAGAGCACTTACCCTGAGTTGCAATGTAGTGCCGAGGTCGATGGTATCCCTAGATGACAGGAGAGAAGCAGAGTGAAGGGCTTCCAGTCAAAGCTCGCAAATACCATAATATTAATAGTTATCCTTTCCAAGACATGCTTTCCTCACAAGCAAAATGAGAATAGCATTAGACACTTCCCAGGGAAGTGGCAAAGATGAAATAAGTAACGTATGGCAAGCACTTATTAAATCACTAAACGTTAGCTATTATAGTAGTAACTTGGAAGGGACCCATATAGGCTTGCCTTGGAAGCAAAACTGGGTGGCTGTTACTTATGCCCATGTACGCAGACAGAGGTGGAGAAGGAACTGTGGCGTTTCTGTGGGACATAAACCACCAAAAAGTCTTTCCTGGGTCCTAACTGTGCAGAACACTGTGAGTCTCTGTAGGGCACCTGACGGAAGACAACCATTGCATCGTTGGCCCCTTGCATTAGTAACAATTAGAAAAAAAATGGGAAAGAATGCCACAGTGCCTCTCTGTGCCACACGGCGGAGCTTGGAATGGGAAGTCCCACTCACCAGGGAGGACCCCGTGCAGGTGTGACTTAGAGGCTGATAAAGCCACTTTCTGATTCAGAGGCCAGTTTCTGATATCCCTGTATATTTCAGTGTCCCAGGAGGCCCTGCCGCATCTGGTATGGGGTTACTCTGTGCTCCATAACCCTCATCATTGGGGAAGAGGTTGAAGAGAGCCTTCTCTTTTGCCTGGCTATGGTGATACATGGAGGATCCCCCTTCTAGTTCCAGAGAGGAATTCTATCACACTGGGTAGAGTAAAGTTTTGGACAAAGATTTGCATTTAGTACATACCATCGAACATAGTATTTATGGAATGAATACATGAGTGAGCGAACGAATGGATGGACAGATACTTTTTCCAAACTGCAGGTGCCAGTTACAGAGCCCTGCTGGAGGAGAGGTCATGGACAGCCCTGAAATCCATTTTGCTTTAGGGTTAACCATCTCAGGAGAAAACGAGCCCAAACCGTTGATGAATCCCTAGTTTTGTCTCCAATGTTGGTGACCCATCTTTCTGTCCTGTTGGAGGGGAGGGGATGAGCTGCCTCCAGGCCCTCTCACTCAGGAAATGAGCCAGAATTACCATCTGTATGGTTTATGGTGAAACAGACAGAGGCATCTTTCCAGTTCTGGATCCGCTGTCCGATTCAAAGACTTGTTTTTGAGCCCCCAGTGTATTTCTCCACTTCAATCTTCCCCTTGCTCCTTAAATACCTAGTACGTACCTTCCCATTGCTGGGCATACTCTAGAGATGCCAGAGTTCACTGTCAGCACCAAGCCAGGGCCGGCGGCGTGGCCAGAACCGCTGGATTAACCACAGTCCCTAGGAATCAACAGCCCCACCTAAATAAATCTGTTTGCTAACTTCTTAGTGAAGTTATCAGTTTCTTGAGGACAAATACTGCCTCCTCTAAGTTTTAAAAAAAATTTCTATAGAGTCTCATACAGTGTGAGACTCAGAACAAATGTCCAATGAACAAGTGGCTGGGAGCACAGTTAAATAAGGTAGGGCTGGAGGAGGTCGTGTGCACACACTCTGGACCCGATGGCCTGGGTTTGAATCCTGACTCTGACCCTTAGGAGCTGTGTGGTCTGGAGCTAACACTTAACCTCCTTGTGCCTCTGTTGCTTTTTTGCCGTCAAATGAGGGTACTTAGATTTACAATACAGTGTTTCTATTAAGATTATATGGCAGTTACTATGCACCAGGCACTATAGTCTAAGATTTAACATACATACTATCTTATTGTCATCTGGCAAACATTTATTGGGTGCCTACCATGACTGCTTGGGAGATGGTGAGATCAGAAGCTCTTCCCACCTCACCGCTCTGCCTCTAATGCAAAACGGAGCCCCCTCTGACACATGAGAAGTAGGAAGGGAGGTGAGAGGGACCAGGAGTTCTCTGTTCCTTCAAGTCAAGATGGACAGGGTTTCCCAAGCTTGCAGGAAGAATTAGACACTGGGAATTTTCTCGAGTAGGTTTCAGAACAGAAAATAGTCCCCTAGAGTGTAGAAGGATGTGGTTTCTCAGGCCCACCCTCTTCCATCAGCCACATCGTCACTCCCAGTTACAGACCTTGTCCTTCCTGACCCAGGCCACAGCACTGGCCGCTTGCTGGCCTCCCTGCCTCCAGTCTGGTCCCATCCGCGCATCTGCCTCTGACTGGAGTGAACTCTCCAGTGCACATCGGATTATGTTCTTTCCCCACCCAACAGCCTGCAATGGCTCCCCGCGGTGTGTGCAGTCATGTCCGGATGTCCCAGCTCAGGACTAATCACCCGTCTCTAGCCTCAGTGCCAGGTGTCCCTCTCCATGCCCTCCCACGGGCCCTATGTCCCAGCTTCCCGGCACCACCCCTCCAATGAGAACTCCTGCCTCCTGAGCAGTCCTGCAGGCTTCTGCATGTGCCCAACGAAACACGTAGCACGTGAGCTGCAATACGGTTTTGTACTTTTCTCCCCTTGGGCCATGGCGCCTGCACTCAGAGCTGGGGGCAGCTTTCAGCAAAGGCCAGTGGGTGGCATACATGCATAAACAGGTCTCCGAGGTGAGGCTGGGGCACTCTTAGTGGCGTTCCTGTTTCCTCCCCTCCGGCAGCATGCCTGGTTCCTACCACTCTTCCCCTGGCTCACAGGCCGTCTTGCTCTTCTTCAGACACAGGAGTCATGTTTCCATCCAGAGGCCTTTGCACAGGCCATTCCCTGTGCAGGCTGCATCTGTCCCTGCTGAGCTCGGTGGTTTGCTCTCTCCCTCCAGCCAGGCTTCCGCTTGGCTGTCAGTCACCTCACAGAGAGCCTCCCCTGACCACCATGTAGGCCTCTCTCACGTTTCTCTGGTTTACTTTTCTTCAGGGCACTTATCACTCAAGGGCAGAATGTTCCTTGTTTATGGACATGCTCACTGTCTGTCTCTGCAGCGGAATGAGAGGGCTGACAGGGCAGGGCTGTATCCGGTTTGCTCGTGGCTTTGTCCCCAGCACCGACAAGTCGGCCTGGGCCATCAGCCTTGATAAATGCGTATCGAATGCATGCATGCATGCTGTGGGCCTGTCTGCACACTGCATGGGAGTCAAAAGGCCCTCTCTGGTCTCCAAGACCCCATCGAGTTCCCAAAGAGAAAACGTTCTAACCACGAGATTCCTCAGCAACGGAGATAAAAGGAAATGTATTGCTTGACTGGGGCTTTACTGGGGCTTTGCCAAGAACTGGTTCAGGAAACTTCCTAACCTTAAAAGAACTTTGAGTTCATTTAAGTCCCACTCACACAGCACACAGATCGACTGCAAACCAGCACCGGGCCTGCCTCCATCCGTCTGTGAGCAATGGGAAAGAGGCTTGCATCCAAAACGCATTTATCTCACTCTGAACTCATGCATCTGTTACTTACTGGGGACCCAGATACGATATTTATTTCCAGACTGGTAATTTATAACAGATTCAAGTGGCCAATACATTCTCGGGTGTGCAAACAAACCCGCCAGTGGGATGGTTCGGATGGTAGCAGCACCATGGCCTCTGGAGACACAGACAGGGCTGGCCCCATCCAGCTCATTATCCAAATGGAGTTGTTTCAATGGATCGTCAAGATCCAATTGTGGATAAATGATTCCAGCGTGGGCAGTTAGCTCTTCTGAGAGCAAACGTCCAGGACGATTTCGGGGGGGTGGGGCGGGGAGAGCAGGGCAAAAGAGTGAGGACCTAGAAAGCTATGTAGTGTGTGTCTTGCCAGAAATCCCCAAAAGGACTACAGGAATTTTAAGTTTGCTGGAGTACACAGTAGGCTCAGAAATCATGGGATTCCCCATCCCCCGTTCCGCCCCATATTGGTAACAGAGTGCTAGGAGGCACTTGTGCTTGGTGTCTTCTCCACCGCCCCCTTCCCCCATGTTCCCACTTCTCCCTTTCAGACTGCTCTGTGCTGTGGGATGGATGCTGACCTGTACGGACTACATCATGGGGTTCCATGGCTTCTGGTTTCCAGTTGGGTCCAGCCAACAGGGGAGCCGAAGCAGGCCATAGGGAGGCTGGGGTGTATGTCTTCTAGATCTGCCCCTGTCGGGCCACTGAGGTTAGCGCTGACTGTCAGAGGCTTCTGCTTCTAACTCGGGGATACTGCACCCCACCCTGTTGGTTTCCCTTAACTCTGTTCCTACCTTGCTAACCCCCTCCCCCGCCCCCCCCCCCCCGTTACTCCCTTTGAGTGAGCCTCTGTTTCCTAATGGGAGACTGACAGATATGTTGGTTATCATATTCTGCCAGGGTAGCATTATTATCCCACTTTACAGACAGCAGAACAAGTAAATAAGATCATAAGGCTAGTAAGCAGAAAGGCCTGGACTCAATAGGCCCCACAACAGCTGAATTCATGACTCTGGTCTCGTGACCTTTTGACTCTAACCACTGAGATCCAGCAGAAGCCAATGTCACATATGAAGACAGCATCTTATAGAGGCTGTTTGGCCTATTTGCACAATCCACTTCTCTGAGAGGGAGAAGGTGGTGGGGTATCCTTAGTGCATGAGAACAGGATTCTAGCCATGTAACCTTGAGCAAGGATCTTAACCTCAACCCCTGGTTTCTTATCCTTAGAGGCTTACAGAATGCACTGCAATGATAGAACCTGGCAGGAATGGGAGGTGTTTTCGGTGTTGATGTCACAGAGATTCACCTGCATTTGAAGCAATTTCACTTGTTGCCTGTAATGTACCAAAGTGCCTCTTGGCTCTGACTATAGTCAGATGCTTATGCAACTTTGTTTATCTAGGGAAGCGTCTCTCTAGGAAAGTAACTTTTGTGGGAGGGTTACCACTCAGATGACAAATGCTATATATGGCACCTTGGGCTGGCAGACCCCATGTGGGCCTTTGGGGTTGCCACAAGTACTCGGCTGTAGACGAGGTCAAGGGGAAACTGGAAGGAACTAGTTCGGTCTGGTTAACTGCATCCTGAGTCCCCACTATGTGCTGGATGCAAGGTGCTGTCTGGGAGTAGATGGGGAGGGACAGGAGGAAAGGCCCCAGACTGGGAGCTATTCCGGTCTGGTTCCTAGTTTGCTTTTGCTGCTGAGCAGATGCATGGCCTTACTAAGGCTCTGTAATCTCCTTAAACTTTTTTTTGGAGAGGGGGAGGGAGAGAGAGACAGAGAGGTGGAGAGAAAGGACAGAGGGAGAGGGAGAGAGAATCCCAATCAGCCTCCACGCACAGCACAGAGCCTGACAGGGGGCTCCATCTCACAACCCTGAGATCATGACCCGAGCTGAAACCAAGAGTTGGATGCTTAACTGACAGAGCCACCCAGGTGCCCTAAGCTTTGTAATCTCTTTCAACCTCAGCTTCTCTTTCTGAAAAATGGGGATGATTCCCTAACTTGGGGAATTATTGAGGGGCCTCCATAAACTGACTCCTTTACAACCACCCACCACAGGGCCCAAACATGACTCATTTAGATCCACTGGCTGTTGTCATGGCTTTACTGTTATTATTTAAGCCAGCAGAACACGGTGGGGAAGCCACCCCTGATTCAGACTCCTGCTCCCTCCTCCTCTACATCCTAGCAGTGTGATCCTGGATAAGTTACATAACTAATCGAGAGCCTCAGCTAGCTCATCTGGAAATGGGTAGTAACAGCACTTACTTTGTGGGGTTGCGGTACCTAGTCAAGTAATGTTGAAACACAAGAGGTGATCTTAGGTTACTATCAGTCCTTCTTGTCTGTTGGACTCTTACTCATTGGCTGAGGCAGCACTGTGTCACCTCCTCCAGGAAGGCTCCCCTGACTAGCCAACCCCACCCCAACCAAAGCTTTGGTTTTCCTTTATGTTCACACAGGCCCTGCTCTGTGAGGGTCTCTTTTCTTACCCAACTCCCTCACCAGACCTGAGTCCCCTTTCAGGTCTGCATTTCCAGCAGACACTGGAGGACCTGCTTAGTGTTTGAGAAGTGAATACTAGATGCATGAGGGAGAGGCCGGAGCTGTGGTGGGCAGATACTCAGAGTGCTTTGTCCAGGCTCGAGACAGGCTGCTCTGAACTGGCCATGTCCTTGTGAACTTTCCTGGGAGGGCCACGAGGACAGAGACTGTGTCTACCTCGGCTTCCACTGAAGCTCCAGCCCCAGGTCCTGACCACGGGAAGGCCCTTTACAAGCCAGGGCCCCGGTGGGGGCTCGAGACCACTCTGGGTGTTTCAGACGCAGGGAATTCAGCATGGGGTGCTGACGACATTGGTGACAGGGGAGCTGAGATGCTAACCAGGGGGCAGAGGGGTGACGCAGAGATTGGCACCAGCAGGAGACTGTGACAACCCCCGGAACTAGCGGACGACGGGAGACAGAGAAGCTGCCAGACCCCGGAGCTGGGGCTGCCGGGCAGAGGCGGGAATTCTGGTGGGTCTGCCTGGTAGAAGCTGGTGCCACAGCTGGGATGCGGCCCTTGCCAGATATGCTACCCGAGGAAGTGAGGGAGGAGCCGGACACCAGCTCTCCTTTCGCCCTCCAATCTCCCATCAGTGCCCTCCCTGTCGGGGCCGGCTTGCCCTCCTTCCTGCCACAACACACACACACTCACGCACACATACTCACAGGTACACTCTGTCACACACATACTCAGATAAGCAATGCAAAGCAGAACGGGGAAGGCCGAGAAATGGATCTGAGAATAAACAGACAAATGACTACCACAAAGCTCAATAAATTTCTGTAGAATCAATGAATCATCTGGATCAGCCTAGATTAGGGGGATTTCACGCGCACACCATTCCACTTCATAGCCTGTCTACAGAAACACTTGGGTGTCAGAGGGACCAAGGTGATCTCTGCCATTTGTCAAGGCCCCCAGGCTCCTAACTGAGGTCCTGAGAAGCCCGGCTTGCACGGGTTATGAAAGGACGTCCATTTGTCCGTGGTGGCCATGCTCCCCCTTTGCAGACTCTCTCATTTCCATGGTGAAGCAGCCCCTTTCCTAACTGGGCATCTGAATCCTGTATTCTCCTCCCTCGGATTAATCTTACCCTTGGCGATAGATAAATGATCCCAAAGCTCAGATCTGCACTGATCACCTCCATGATCAAAAATTTCCAATAGAGTTCTCTTGCCTCCAGAATCAAGTCCGGCTGTCTAAGTTTGTTCGTAAACCACCGATGATCTAGCTCCAACCTTATTTTCCACTAGTCCCATGACATGGTCTCTGCTTTCCTCAACCTGAGCTGCTACATACTCTCTGCTTCCAGGTGCTACATTTTGGCTTGTGCTGTTCTAACTAGAGGCCCTTCTTCCCCCTCTTTAATTTTAAATTCATCCTGTGCTTGGAGCTTTGGTTCATATCACATTTTGCATTCCTGATGGAAGAAGCGATTTTTTCCCCCCACCTCTGAATCCCTGCAGCATTTTATCTGAACATATGACACTTACCACTTTCCAGTTTGCCCTGGAATTATTGATGTGCATAGCTTATCTTCCTGCTCAGGTTTTAAAGGGTAGAGACCATGGCGCTTTTAGTTTTATGGTTCCCATAGCATCCGGCACACAGCAGGGACTTTTAAATTTGTGTTGCATAAATGGCTATACCTTCAAATGAATGAATGGATGGACAAACAGACACACGTACAAATGAATTAATGGGTGAATGAACAAGACGGGCAGCTGTCCTGGGGCCCCACAGAGCAGGCTACTCCAGCCAGCCCCAAAGAGGATGCAGCTTCCGATGGATAATCAATGTAGGTTATGCTAATTACACAAATCAGGGAGGCCCCAGACCCCTCTGGACACGTTCTGGGAGGGCCACCTTGTGGGGGAGGGAGGCTGGAGGACAGCCACAGGTCTCGAGCCTGCTACAACCAACCCCAGAGCCCGGCTGCCCAGCCCCGTGAAGACTCTCACATCAATGTAGTTGGCGTTGATGTAGTCAGAATGCGGGTCTCCGTCCAGCACCAGCAGCCTCACCCGGGAATGGTCGTCTGCAGAGAGAGAGCAGAAAACAAGGGGCGGGGGTGGGAGTAGAAAGGAGCCTGCGGTGAGGGGCCAGCACTGCCCTCCTGCAGAGCTACCATGCATTAGTAGTATGGGCATCGTGCTGCTTCTCACACACCCTCTCATTTGACCCCTGGCGCCACCCCATTATCATCCCCATTTACAGATGAGGCAGCTGAGGCTCAGGGAGATCACTGTGCCTTAAAAAGCACTGTGTGTTTTCCTTCTCTTTTTTCCACCTGCCCTTCTAGTTCTAGTTATGACCCACCTGTGTGAGTTGCCTTTCTTCTTTAAGTCTTAGTGATTTTGTCATTAAAAGGGCAGTAGAAATACCTTCTTCACACGACAGTGCAAGAGAGATCAAAATACTCAGGAGGCGAGAAGTGTCGGATATGAACTAACATGCTCTGTTTTCATTATTGCATAAAAATGGCAAATTTACCTATTTTCCACATGTGTGCAAATGCTTTTCTTTTGCCTTTCGGAGAATTGTTGCAAATAGATTGTTGGCCACATATTGTTATCAATACAACCATTCAAGGGAAGCTGGCTCCATCATTATAAAAGAGGTCATCAATAACTAAAAACGTGGTCTGGAGAATATCATTTCAGGCACAATCCAGGCATAAACAAGATTTGCAGGGTCTAGTCAATGGCACATTTACTTTAAATAACGTCAAATAAACACCATTAAAAAAACCAAAACAAAACAAAACCCTTGCACAGAAGAATCAGGCCAATCCTTTACAACTAATTAGAGCGCGCTATGACGCACTAACAGATGCACACAAACAGAACACCCTGGCTGGGTCTGGTGGGAGCAGGGGCTCAGCTTGCTGTCTGGGTCCCTGTCACCCATCGCTGCATGTCCCTGCCTCCACTATCCGGTCTAGGACAGGGCTAGGGTTCCTGCTAAGGCATATGCAGCCCTTTGCAGTTTACAGGCACATCTAGTACTACGAACCGGAAGCCCCCGAGAACAGGGCCATTAGCACTCTGTTCCCTGTTTCATCCCCTGTGCCTCCACCTGCAGCAGGCGCTCCACAAATCTTTAGTGAGCATATGAGTGGATCACCTTGTTGGACTCTCACCGCGATCCCAGGAGACAAGCAGCATAGCCCTGTTACAAATGAGGACAGCGAGGCTCACATGGACTGACTGGCCACATGGCCTGTGAGTGGTGGAACTTGAAAGAGCGGGTTCTCTGAACTCTGAGCTCAGACACTCCTGCTTCCAAAGAGGGGTCTAAGCAGGATACTGGAAACGGCTTCAAGTGTACATGGCAGGGGGATTAATGCCAGAGAACTGGCCATCTGGTGATGGAAGAGCTGAGAAGCCAGAGAGAGGCTGCGTAACTCAGAGACCAGCACTAGCGAGGAGACATTGCCTCCCAGGGGATGGCGGGGCAGATGGAGGAGGCGAGGTTATCAGAGGTGAGGGCTGGGGCCCCTGTGGAAACTGGAGCCCATGAGCCTCTATGGTGGGAGCTGGAGAAAAAGAGGAGCCTCTCTCGCTGCTATAGGAGGAGTCTAACTGGGACAGAGTGGGAGACATACCCCGGCTTCTTCCTTTCCCTGACTTCCAATCTCCCACCAGGGCATGTCCTTGGCCAAAGCCAGCCAGCCAGATGCCAGCTGGCAAGAGACTGGGAAATGCAACCTATGGGTTGAACCCACACGTCAGTTGAAGAGGAGAAGGCAAGGAATGGGTCCGAGGATGGACAAACATGCCCAGGACTGGACAGGACGCTACTTCATATCCATTAAATAATTCAAAAAATTCGTCCTTGACCGTGTGCCAGGCTCTATGATAGATACAGAGGTATACCAGATGCCACTTTTCTTACTCCTCATGGGCACGAGTGGCAAGTGGGAGGTCTAACTCATCTCTTTGGGGGTGGTGGGGGGAGTGGGGTGTGAAGTCAGAAGTCTGAAGTTCACCTTTATGGAGTTCACGGCCGGTATTAGACTTTACAGACATGATCTCACTCAATCATTTGTTCTTCAACATAGCTCTGTAGATTACTGCAATAATACCATGATGATAGAGTATGTTGATTCTTCCCATTTCACAGATGAAGAAACAGAGACTCAGAGAAGTTAAGCACATTCCCAATGTTATGCAGCCTGCACGGGGCAGAGCTGGGATTCTATCTCAGGTCTGTCTGAACCCAAACCCCTGCTCCATCTACCCACGGTGCTGTCCCTGGACTTCTAGCATCCAGCAGGCACTGCTCCTGGAGTCCGTGCAAATGGTTGGTCCCAGATTCTGCAGTATTCTGGCCCTAGGAGTGGGACCTCCCAGGGGACCACCATCCTGCTCCAGGAGCAAGGAGTCAGACAAGGCCCAGCGCCTGACTCCGAGCTGAGACTGTTAAGCCCCATTACCCGTGGTTACAAAAACGATAAGCCTTAAAAAAGTAAAAATGCACATTGTGCTTTCACTCATTGGTCTCACTAATGACTTATTTAAAAATCTCCTTTATTTATTGAGTTATGACTGCCCCTGGGGTCTATAGCACTAGAAACAGAGATTCTGGTTTAAAATGTGGAGAGGGAATTTTCTTTAACATAAAACGAAAGTTAAAATCTGAAAGCAAAAATGATTTAAAAAACCAATAAGAAACAAACTTACTTAAGTTAAATATTCTTAAAGATGAAAGGGGCCTCTACCCACCAGAGGATGGTGTTTCTTGGTATTTTGTCTTCATCCATTCATGAAGAACCTACTATGTGCAGGCTGGTTGAATGGCCTAAGGAAGTATTGTCAAAATGATACTCATGCTTAAGGAATTTGTCGGTGTCGTGCGGGAGACAGATTGTACACAGAAGTAGAACTCCAAGGTCCAGAAAGTGGAGAAAGGAGGGCTTTGTGAAGTAGTATGTGAATGAGGAATTTAAAGTAGGCTAAGACTTGACCAGTGGACAGTGAGGAAGGGTCCTTCCATCAGAGGGTACAAGGAAAGTGAAGACAGTGCTCCTGAAAAAGCAAGCACACTGGGGAGGCTGAAAACCATTTCCTGTCTTGTGGACACAGTGTGAGGGGATTAGCAACATGAGAAGAGAGAGAGGCGGTAGGCGGGGTTGGGTTACAGAGGGCTCTCCACCCTGTATTGAGGCACTTAGATGCAAATACCCATGCTGGGCTCTGCAAGGCATCCAAATACGATACCTCTATTTTCTGAGGCTGTGAAAGGTTATTTTATTATGCAGTGACCAAGATTCATTTCCAGAGGGCTAACCTGAGGCAAATGGGATACAGCGATGATGTAAGGTATGAAGCTGAGGGTCAGACCTGGGTTCAAATCTTAGCCCTATCACTTAGTAAGTCAATTGAGCTCTCTTAGCTTGGGTTGCTTAGCAAAGTGGAGTCAATACTATGTAGCTCATGGAGTGCTGGGGTGGGGGGGATTAAATGAGAAAATGTAAGCATGAAAAGTGTGAGGGCCTTAAAGAGAATGAAAAGACAAGCCACAGACTGGGAGAAAATATTTGCAGAATATCAGATAAAGGACTTGTATCCATAATATACAAAGAACTCTTAAATTCAACAACAAGAAAACAACCCTATTAAAAAATGGGCAAAAGGTCTGAACAGACACCTCAGCAAAAAAGATATACAGATGGCAAATAAGTGTATAAAACTAAGTATATAAAAAATGTTCAACATCATATGTTATTAGGGAATTTCAAATTAAAACAACAACGAGGTATCTCTATAACACCTACTAGAATGGCCCAAGTCCAGAACAGTGACAACACCAAATGCTGGTGAGGATATGGAACAATAGGAACTCTCGGTTCACTGCTGGTGGGAATGCAAAACGGTATAGCCACTTTGGGAGACAGTTTGGCAGTTTCTTTTAAAACTAAACATACTCTTATCATATGATTCCAGCAATTGCTGTCTTTGGTATTTACCCAAATGAGTTGGAAACTTATGTCCACACAAAAACTTGCACACAAATGTTTATAGTAGCTTCACTCACAACTGCCAAAACCTAGGAAAAAACAAAAACAAAAAGCAAAAAACCAAGATGTCCTTCAATACATGAAAGGATAGACAAATAAATGTATACCCAGACAGTGGAATATCATCCAGTGATGTCTAGAGATGAATGATCAAGCCATGAAAAGACATGGAGGAAACATACATGCCTACTGCTAAGGGCACAAGTGAGTCTGCAAAGGCTTCATACTGTGTGATTCCACCTCTATGACACTCTGGTATGGACACGGTAAACAAGCAGTGGCTGCCAAGAGGACTTGGGAACAGGATGAACAGGTGGGACAGGGGCGTTTTAGGGCCCTGAAATGATTCTGTAGGATACTGTACTGGTGGATACATGTCATTACACATTTTTAAAATCCCACTGAACTGCACAACACAAAGAATAGACTCTAAACTACGGACTTTAGCTAATAATAATGGATCAAGACTGGTTCATTAATTGTAACAAATGTATCACACGGAAACGAGGTGTTAATAATGGGAATCTGAATGTGGGAGGGAGGCAGGCAGCACACGGGAACTCTCTCTGTACGTTCTGCTCACTTCCTCTGAAACCTAAGAGTGCTCTAAAAAAAAAAAGTACTCGGACAGTGCCTGGTATGCAGCAGGTGCTTAATAAATGGTGGTTCTGGGCTGGACGTGAGGCTCAGGGCTGAGATGCTTAGGAATGCGGTGTTCCCCACTTGCCCTTCTGTACCACATATAAATCCACCTTCTGCAGAGGCAAGGAGCTATGGTGAGTATTCTCGAAAGGGAAGAATTCAGCCGTTGGGCCTACCAGAAAGGCTTTGCAAGGAATAGCAGTGTCCTCATGGTGTATTTATTCCTTCTGGGAGATGCTAATATTATTCTGTGTCCCCCTCTTCTTCTAACTTTACATAATTAGAAGGATAAAAAATTGTGTTTATCCACAGGCACATGCAGAAAGATGGGGCAGCGGGCGATGTGAAGGAGTTTATACAAGGTAATTTACAAG